AGATTAAAAATTAAAAGGCAAAGGAAAACATGTCATAAAGACATATAAAAACATTCTATAAAATCATAAAAAAAACCCGGTCGTACGAACAAAGTTATTAGAAATTAAATATATATATATATATATATATATATATATTATAAGAAAATAAAGAGAAAAGAACCAGCCACTCCTAATCGACGTAAGGGTTAAGACAAAACTAGTACAATCGGCATTCAATTTACTCTACAAACCTCAACTTTTCTAAACATTGGTTCATTAAACTTAATTGTTTTGATAATTTGATAGATTAAATAATTAATTTTCATGACGCCTTGGTTTTCGCATTCATAATATGATTTTAAACGAATACCTGAATTAAACCTGTTTACGTGTTGAATTACTTATAGTTTGAGTTAATTTAGTTATTGAATTACTTATACAATTATTAATTGATTCTAATTTCAGTATTTATCAAGGTTGGTTTCTATTGTAGTTGTTATAATTGTACACAATTATTATAAAATATTAAAATTATTTTTATACTTTTACAAATAAATTTTAAAAGGTTTATTATTTTATTTAAATGTAAATCTTACCGGACTTGTCCTATACTGGATATTATGTCGTAGCCGAAAATTTTTTTAAACCGAAAAGTTAAACAAATATTATTATATAAAAAAGTATAAAAAAATATTATTATATAATATAATGGTTCACGAGAAACATGTGAAGTTGTGTTTCAATAAATAAATAAAGAATTACCACTGATTTGAGTATGACTTGGGAAAACTTCAATTATTCACCGTCCATTATATATATTTTAAACGTAAACTAATTGCACTAACAACATGAACTTTACCCAATTAATATGAGAAAAATAATGAAATAATGAATAACAAGGAGGGAGGGCAAACTGAAAACGAACATTACTATCAATCACACGTTTTTAAACATTTGATCCTATTAGATTTATATACAATTAAAGTGAAGCATTTGAATACAATAACTCATATATTGTTATTTTTTTTCGAATTGTCTGAAGTGGTGATTATAAGGTAATATATGTTCAGAATTTTCTTAATCTATTGACAACGCGCGCGCCCTACATATATTATTGCTCGGACCTAAGACCTTTAATATTTTCTTTCGTCATTAAGGTCACTTTATAGATTTTTCGTATATTGGTATTAATTATGTACTTATAACACTTAGTGCTTGCATAGGTCTAATTATCATATGAATACAAATATGTAATATAGCCTCAAGAAAATGATATGAGGTAAACCATTTTTAGGATTATAATTTTCTCTGTTTTTTTATGGTTTTAATATGATCTAATCGAGTTAAATTTTTGGATAAAGTGTACAAATGGTACTCGATTATATGGTGTTGTTCCATTGAGTCTCTCGACTATTAAAAGTTATAAAATAGTCCTTTGACTATAGGGTGTCGCTTTGTCGAGTCCTCCGACTATGACTATTAAAAGTTACAAAATAGTCACTCGATTATTCATACGTTCCAAACTCATTTTTTTGTTAAAAAATTAATGGCAGTCTGAGCTGAACGTTAACCTGCTGACTGAGATATGTTAAAAGCTAATCTCATGATATCAAATGACTATCATATCTCAGTCAACATGTTAACATCTAGCTCAGACGATTGTCTTTTCTTACAGGAAAAGACGGGTTTAGAACATATAAATAGTCATGTGATCATTTTATAATTGTTAATAGTTGATGGGCACAATAAAATAACATTTTATAGTCGAGGGCCATTTGTGTATTTTTATAATCAAAGATCATAGTAAATCGGGAAGAATCTTTTATAAAAGTTGGATTTATAAATTTTAAAGAAAACATACTTAAATTAAAATCAATACAAATACTCAAGAGTAAGATTAAAAAAAATCCTGTCTAATTATATTTATTGATTTTTTATATTATAATTAATATATTTATATCTATATAATTATTTTTAATCACATAATAACTTAAATATGAATTTTGTTAACAATATAACAAATTTCTAATTTAATACAATAATTAGAATTTTTTATTCTCAAAGACCTAGTATGATTGTATGAATTCTTCTAAGGTTAAAACATATTTTCTTCCCTTCTCCACCAATAAGATGACTACAATTTATTAATTATTGAATTAAATTATAAAGTTTAGAAATAAAATAATTTTTTTAGAGATTAAATTTAATAAAAAATGTAAAAAAATTGATATGTCATTTACATTTCTAATGTCAAACGATCAAAAGTTTCATGTGATACGACCTTAATTGATCAAAGAATTTTTAACGGTTTTGAGGTGAGATGAATAACATTTGTAAATCATTAAATCTCTTAACTTAAATTCTTAATCCACGTGACACATTTGTTGTCGATGAGTCAATCACCACCACTCGTTCCTTTCGTTGTTGGACCCCATTGATCGGTTTTTGTCTTTACATCGTATAAAAAAAATCTCAGTCATCATTGAATAAATCACCATCGTCCACCTCTTCCGTTGTTTGGTCCCAGTATTGATTATCTTACTCTTCTTTCATCGCAAATTCACAAACGAGCACTGGCGGAACATCCCCTTGACCGCAGCCAATTATTTTTATAATTATTAATTACTATTGAAATATATATTTTTAAAAAAATAAAAAACATCATGCACACTCAATTAAAAAATTGTATTTTATAGAAAATAAAAAACACTTTAATCATGTTATAATAAATTCTTAGTTCCGCTCCTATAAATGAGAGACAACAAAATCAATGACAAATAACTTTTATTGTTGTGAATTGACGAATGACTCGCTGCTCGTGTATTGACAGGCAACAAACGGCTTATGGGCGGTTCATTAAAACGACTACGAGATGACATTCGACTGTAGAAGAGAGTGAGAGAAGGAAAAGGTTTTAGGATTTTTTTAAATAACGATTTGAAGGGGAAGGGAGGCGATTAGAGAACTCATGAGTTTTTTAAAAATAATTATTTTATTTTTTCTTATAAAATAAGTTAAAATTAAGGTCACATGTCAAGTAATGAGTAGGTGACAAATTTTTTTAATAGATATTGATGACGTGACCTTAAAATGATAACAGAATAAAATGTTTCACATATACTTTGATTTAAAAATTCAACACATACTTATCCAAAAAAAAAATCAACACCTAAAATATAATAAAAAATTGAATACTTATTTTTAGACTAAACTAGTAATATATTATAAATTTTGTAAAAATATATAAATTTGGATTAATATTTTTCATATATATTTCTACTGCCACTGGTGTGGTGTCCACCACAATCTTGCAAGTGTGAATTATAAAAGAAAATGTAAACTATTAAAATTTATAAGATAGAATAATTATAAAATAAAAATAATAAGTATTTGACCGAGTTAAGTCGAGATGGGTAAAAAAAGATAAAGTTTGTTAATTTTATAATGTTTTATCTTTTAAATTGAATTTAAATTTTTATTTCAATTTGAGTCGAGTCAAGTCAGATCAAATATATTTATTTAAGTTTTTATTCAAATTTAAATGTAATTATTTATAATAATATGGTATTGATTAGTTTCAATTTAAGCGACTTTCTTTAACTATATAGTATATACATATATTAGTTAACATGAACAAGAAAGATTTGTAGTGTTATTTAATAAATCAAAAAAACATAAAAATTATACTATATATTTGCAATATAATAATATATTTTGAAGACAAAGTATTGATGGAAGTATTAAATAAGTTAAGGGATTAAGGGAAGAAAAATGCAAAGAGTAAGGATCAAAGGACTAAATTGAATACAGTACAAAGATGACATCAAATTACAAAAATAAAAATTTCTTTTTAAAAAAGATCGATTGAAGTTACATGTGTATTTGACAGAGATTGAGGAGGTACTTCAAAATTGATAAAAAAAAAATTAGCTTAAAACAATGAAGAAATTAAAGAGAAAAAAAGTCAAATTATTTAACTATAGAATAAAATGACATAATTTTAATTTTCAAATTTTGGATTTTTTAAATTTATAAATTTAAATTCAGCTTAAAATATAGATTAAAAATCTTAGTTGATTCAAATAACTCAAACAACTCAATTCAAATAATTAATAATTAAAAAATAAATTTTCAAATAAAATAAAATTTTGTTAATTTCTATTTAAAACTGACTAGTATATAATTGATCATTAATTAAGTGATTATCATAATGTGAAGTTTGTTAGGTAAAACAAGAAAAAGTTTACTTCAATTGTGTTCAAGAGGAGAAAAAAATGAGTCAATTAAAAATTTTGACGTTCAACAGTCAATGATGATGATGATCGATGGCAACGATGGTTAATGGAGGATGATGGTGAAAAACTTTAGTCAAATTTATAGATTAAATTGAAGATTTATATAAAATTTAAAATGAAAATATATTCTTATCTAAAATTTAAAGGTAAAATGACATTTTATATAAAATTTAATATCAAATTTATATTCTAATGTTAAATTAAAATTTACTCTTCTTCTTAAAAATGTATCACGTCATAAATAAAATATTACAAACGATAATATAAATAACTAAATATAATTTTTCAAAATGGATCATTAATAATCAGTTAAAGTAGAAAATAAAATGGATTATTGATACTAATAAGATTGATTGCAGTTTAAAATGTGATTTGACTTAACATCAATTCAATTAAAGGTATGAAGTAATAGATGATGTAAATAGCATTTAAAGAATTAGAAAATAATAAGTGTGTAAAAGGAAAGAGGAGAAGAACGCCCAACAACATCGGTAATCACTGGCCCTCTCGATGTCAAATCACGTAGTAGGTGGTCCCAACAGTGTGGCTCGCCCCTATGCCTACTTACTAATAGGCTCTGCTTCGACACCTGCGTTCGATAGATCCTCCCTTATCAATTACAATGTCTATTAACTGTTGTTTATTTCTCTCAGTTTTTAACCTTTTCTCGGCTTCCCACATCGCTTCTCTATATATACACACAATACACAATTTCCTTTCCGTAAGAAAACACTTAGTACCGATCATTAAGAAGCGAAAGACAAAAATCTCGATCAGCCCTCAGCTGCCGCCGTCCACAAGTTATCTTTTATTTTTTCCTTTCTGTCAGTCATGGAAGAACTAATAATCTCACCATCTTCTACTTCTTCATTAGTTTCCTTTTCACATGAAACTCCACCTTTGACTCTCCAGCAGAGGCTTCAACATGTAATTGAAAGGCAGCCGGATTGGTGGGCGTACGCTATTTTTTGGCAGACGTCTAACGATGACCAGGGCCGGCTGTTCTTGGCTTGGGGAGATGGTCATTTTCAGGGCACCAAAGATACGTTCCCCAAATTACGTGCCAACAAAAGTTCAGACATTCAGGTCTTGCACGATGAACGAACGAAGGTGATGGAAGGAATCCAAGCCCTCGTCGGAGACAACCACGATATCGATATGTCGATGATCGACGGCTCTGATATCAGCGATGCTGAATGGTTCTACATGTTGTCTTTGACCCGGAGTTTCTCTGCCGGCGATGGGGTCCTGGGCAAGTCTCTTACGACCGGCTCTTTGGTGTGGTTAACCGGTGCCCACGACTTGCAGTTTTACAATTGCGAAAGGGCTAAAGAAGCACAGTTGCATGGCATTGAAACGATGGTCTGTATACCGACTTCTTGTGGCGTTCTTGAATTTGGTTCCTCGGAAATTATCAGGGAAAACTGGGGATTAGTCCAACAAATGAAATACTTATTCGGGTCGGATCTCAACGGTCTGCTACCAAAACAATCAACTACAGACACAGGTCCAAATCAAATCCAGTTCCTTGATAGAAGCATCTCATTTTCTGACATCGGCGTAATCGCCGGTGTTCAAGAAGACCACAACAACGAAGGCACGAAAGACTCGACAAGACCCGGGGAATCGTTCTTTCTTAACTCAGAGCATTCGGATTCCGATTGTCCATTGCTTCCCCTGTACAACACAGAGAAGAGAACCCCAAAGAAACGTGGAAGAATACCCGGTTCGGAACGAGAGACATTGTTGAACCACGTGGAAGCCGAAAGGCAACGCCGGGAGAAGCTGAACCACAGATTCTACGCACTCCGAGCTGTAGTCCCAAACGTGTCCCGCATGGACAAAGCATCCCTCTTGTCCCACGCCGTCTCGTACATCAAGGAGCTGAAGTCCAAAATCGAAGACCTCGAAGCGGAGCTTCGTAGAGAGTCTAAGAGAGTGAAGGTAGAAACGGTGGACGCCTTGGATAACCAGAGCACCACCACCACCGCATCGGTGGAGCAGATAACAACAGCCAAACCTAGCAATTCATCATCCGCAACCGATGGATCTAGCGGGATGGAACTAGATATAAAGATCATAGGAAATGATGCAATGATTAGGGTCCAATCGAAGAAAGTGAACTATCCGTGTGCAAGGTTAATGGATGCCCTTCGTGATTTGGAGTTTCAGCTCCATCATGCAAGCGTGTCGTGTGTTAACGACATCGTGCTCCAGGATATTGTCGTCAAGGTTCCTCATAGATTCAAAACACATGAACAAGGCATTAAAGTTGCTCTTCTCAGAAAGCTAGAGCAGTAAATTTTTCTTCTTGATTTTGTATTTACTTCATCGATTTTGCCTTTGAACTTTAACTCTGCTTGTCATGTAATTAATTAAGAAGATAAATTCAAGCAGCTATATTATTTTTGTAGTTCCTTCCTATTTCTTTCCACAGGGTTTTCTTATGGTTGTCCCCCATGCCTATTTCGAGTTTGACCTTGAAATCGAACCAAACCCTAATCAATGGTCGGATTTTTTTTAAAGTAATGGTCGGACCTAATATGAATTAAAAATTATAAAATATATAAATACCTGCATGTTTGATACATGAAACACTAAATGTAATATTATTTGGGAGTATATTATAATTTGTAAATTGCTATTTATTTTTTAAACTTTTACGTCGGTTAATTTCCATACCCAGGAATGCCCCAACTTTTATGCAGAAAAGAAAATTAAATGGTGGAACCTTCTTCAAATTATGAAATTAAAGATGACCCTCCACTTTGGCTCCACCGGGTGAGTATCCATCGGTTTTTACATCTTTCTGGAGCTGGTTTCAAGTGCTGTATTGGATGTTTTGGTGGGTTGTATGGTGATAGCTGCTGCGTGGTTTAGTTTCCATGCCTGTAATGGGGAGTTTTGTTTTTGTGCTGCTTGTGTGCATGGTTGTTGGGCTGTATTGATGTTTCGTATTAGTAATATGTGTATTTGGTTGATTGTTTATATTTTGACACAACATGGTGCACACTTTTTCCTCTAAGATTAGAAAATATTTTTAACGAATCTCATAGTTTGTGTCGTTTTGTATTCAAATTTCCTTCTTGTATTCAGAATTTTTGTTCATGTAGGGTGCAAATAACAGCCCCTTAATAGAGAAATTAATAAGTTTGCATTTAAATTATAGAGAAATTAAAGCCTGATTATGAATTTCGTCTTTTGTTTCATGAAAATAGAGAACCTACTTTATCTATTTTAATTTGAAAAAAGAAACAGTTTCTTTATTTTGTGAAACTGAAAAATTAATTAATTTATTGATAAATATTTTAATTTTTATTTTGAATGTTGATTTTTTTAATTATTAAATATAAATAATTGAATTATTAATTTTTTGTTAAATCTGGTAATAATTTATAAATTTCAAAACAGCATCAATATTTATTAATATATTCTAATTGGATAAATAAATTAAAAATTTCAAATTCAGATAAATTACAACTCATTTTCGTAAGTCTCCCATGGTGATTGATATTGGAGGAGAGAAATCCAGTGTTCTCTGATTTGAGATTTGCAGTCATGAATGGATCAGAAAGAGTATTGAGGATTATCATAATTTTAAAAAATAAATTAAAAATTTATATAATTTAAATATTTTTTATTAATAATTTAATTTTATACTCTTTAAATTTATTAATATATATATTTAAATTATATATGTTAATATAAAATCTTCTATCCGTGTACGTCTGTATAGGTTTCAGACGTTTGGTTTGTGTGCATGAACGGGAATTCAAACATGCTTTGTTTACAACGTGAAAATTTTGGCATTTCTCAAAGTGGCCACCACATTGGATATAGTATAAGTGTTTGATTCTTGGGGTTCTCTAAGGGAGTACAACTTTAATATACGGTTAAGGAAAGACGTTATTGAAAATATTAATATATTTTAATATTTTTGATAAAGTGTTATCTAAAATATTATTATTTTTTTTACAAAAAATGTTAATATTGGGCGCAACCTAAAATATTTAATATTGTTGGTAAAGTTCTACCTAAAACATTATTTGTTTCTATTTGAAATGGTAATATTGTGAGCTACCTAAAATACTATTTTTTCTACCGGAAATTAGGTAGCGAAATTAATATTTTCAGTAAAAAACAATATTTTAGGTAGCGCTTTACCGAAAATATTTAAAAAATATTAACATTTCTGATAAAATATTTTTTTAACCATATATTAAGGTTGTCGTAGATCATAACTACCTTTCCTTTCTTGGATCCATCAATCAACCACATTCATCACCTGAAATGAATTTATAAAACACACAATTAGGGACCGGATGCGTTAAGTAACCAGGGTTAGGTGCACCCATTATTTTAGAAAAATAATTAAATTTAACATAATATATTAAATTTTTATATATCCATTATTTAAAAAAAAATTAGATCTATATTTTTTAAATTTTGGATCTGCCACCGTACGCAATGATGATTTATTATACGTGATTATATTGTAGACTATTGAAATATGTATCGATTATCCAATAATCGTGGAAATGACTAAAATTTTTATTGAAGCATGGATTTATATATAAATTAGAATCTAATAAAAAAACTCGCCTATATTATATAATTTAAAAGTCTCTATATACGTGATTTAGTGATTAATAAAATTATTATTCTTAGAGATTATAAGTTTAAACAATTTTGTTGTTGTTTTAAGTCACGGTGTTCGAGCAATTTTATGTAACCAATGGTGATTGAAACTGTACAAAAACAACCTAAAAAATTTCTAAGACATGACATTATGTATTATATACACGATCTAGTGGCGATTGAAATATATATATAATGATGTGGTCTTAGTGGTAAGATATAAATTCACGTGTATATTTATATTGTCTTAGGGACGAGATCTATATAGATATATGAGATCATATATATATATATATATATATATATATATAGGGAGATGATCTTGTTACGTAATGTAAAGCTCTTTTAATTTTATATAGATTTAGGATCGTTAAATGAATGAAAATAGATGATTGAAATTAACAGTAGTAAATTAGATTATATTCACTTGAAAAAAACAATGAGTCAATCAAAGTTATCTATTTTCACTCATTCAATTGGCCTAAATCTATGTAAAATTAAAGTGTTTTACATTGTGTAAAACTCGATGTTAGATGAGATCGATAGATGTTTTGGTATCATCGATGATATGATTTATTATTGTCTTGTTAGCTATTAATGTTGGCAGTTCATGGTTAGGCCCTTGGTTTCGGACTAGGAAAAACATGAGACTCAAATTATTGAGCTAATGAAATTGTTGATCTTAAACTTGCCATGTCTTAGAATTATGCATAATGTATATATTCGTTGCTCATTTCTTATTCCGACCGCAAGTTTATCTTTATAAATTTCACAATGTATATTAAATTAGTGGTATACTGTTGAAATTATGAAGCTCAACGTTCAGATGTTTACATTCACATGTTAGTGAACTTGAGTAGTTCATGGAACCCGTCATCTCAAGATTCTAACATCTATTTTTATGGTATAATATTTGAGTATCACAATGAACATATGTATCCATAGGACTCTTAATTTGTATTTGATTTGTTAACTGTTTTATTAATTTGAGATTTATTTTGATAACCGTTGTAAACGGAGCTCTCATTTTTAAACACTTTTTAACGATTTTTTTTTATATACTGTGTGGTTTGAATTTATTATGATTTCTTTGTATGATGAAAAATAAAAAAAAAATTTGAAAAAATATCGTTTCGATGACCTAAAGTTATACGCTAGACCCGATCTAGATTTAAGGTGTTACACTGTTTATGGAATGTTACATTGTTATGGTAACGAGAATATAAGTAATATATATGAGATGTTATATTTGCTTGATTTGAATAATAATAATAATTATTATTATTTTGGAAAAAATAAAACTGAGTTAATCTTATTTGATTTGATTAATTTGATTTTAATTCTTTTATCAATTTAATTTATTTGATTTTCCTATTAGTACATAAAAACTAAACCGACCGAATATACACCCATATCCCTCATTGATTTTTTGTTAAACATTTCAATCAGGTATCAAACTAAAGTCTCAACTCTTTTAGTATTGCAACTGTCGGATTGGATCATACGTGTTTGATCAAAGAACTTGCCACGTTCAACAGTGCCTTATGAATATAAAATAATAGAAGAAGAAGCTAAAAAATTCAGTTACAAGAATAGACCAGTCGGGGAATATCAGCATGTGGTTGGTATCCATACATATGTGTCTGTGTAGTCCATTCATTGAATGAATTAGTTCATGGTTAGTGGTTTGAAACATACAAAGCATGCCCTCCCGTTTTACAGTTTGGTTATCAAATGGATTGGGTACTTCAGTGTTAGGAAAATGTCATATTTGTTGCGTTGTGTGTGCCCAAAGCCTCATTTTCTCATAGCACTTGTATAAATGCGTTGTCTTTTTTTAAATAGTTTGAGATAATTATAAGATAACATTTGTTTAGATTTTTTTAATTTTTTTTTGATAACATATCCCCTACAAACGTAATTGCTCAAATTTGGGTCCTTTAAATAGAATAATATTTCCTTTTATCATTACGATCGCTGAAAATATACAATAAATCGTCTTTATGAGTATCAAATAATGGTAATGGTTATTGTTCTTATTTAATACACTCATTGAAAGATGGTATACATAATAATATTAAGTAATGTACTTATCATATAACTTAGTAGGATCATTTCAGCTGTAATTCGTTCAATATAATTAGTTATTTTGGACACGTAGGTTGCACGTTTATATACATATCTATTTTAATTATTTTTATTTATATAAATGTAAAAATCTAAAAAAAAAAGGAAGAATTCTAAATGAGGCTTCATTCGTTGCGCAAGAATCTTATGATTTTGAAATATATGGTTAGGGTTGTAATTCAGGTTTAGAATATTGAGTGTTGAGAAATGAAGAATTTAATGATGGACAGTTTAAAAGGCCATTGAGGTTATTGCTTCTTGTGGGGTTCCTCTGGGAATTTAAGTCTGACTCATCAAATAATGTTTCCAACCTGTTTTGATTTGTTGGTTAAACACACTTTATTTTTGTTAAAAAAAATATGAATGCTGCGAAACAAAATATGAACATTCACTTGAAATTAATTCATAAAAATATAATAAAATTAAGCTTAATTATACCACGATATGAATAATTGTCTTAGAAGTAAATCCGTTTTGATTGGTCTAATCTTTAAAATATACATTGTCCTTCAAGATTAACACAATCCTTCAATCATCTCCAACTATTACTTTCTTTACTTCTAATTCTTAAACTAATTACATAAAACTAATTTATTAAAAATTTTGTTGAATGTCACATCAATCGGTATGTGTATTAATCTTTTACTGACGTAGCTCTATGTTATATCATAAATAAGTATTGATTGTTAATCAATTAATGTTGACTTTTATTTTAACAAAAAATGTTGAGGATTAAAATAGTTTTTTTTTAAAAAGAAATAAAATGACTATTCAATGAAACGTTAGAGATATTTTTAATGTTATATATATAAAAAATACTCATAATGTTTTCTTAAGTTTTCTATATATATATATATATTTAATATTTTTTTAGAATACTCATGTTTTATATTTTAATGTTATTTTGCAAGTCCTATATTATATGTTTAGGAGTAAATTAGTTTATAATATTTTTTACGTTTAATTTTAATGTGAATTTCTGAAGTGAAAGTAAGATTGAATGTTAAAAAATGTAATATGATATGTTGATAATATCATTGAATTTCGGTTGCGCTATTTTTTAATCATTTAAAATATGAAAAGATTTTTTAGAAGGAATTGCCATTCTTCCAAGACAGCCATGATATGTAAACCTTTTAACTTAATATTAGTAATCCTCTTACATGAGTACATAGTTGATGCATCAGCAGTCACCCTTCTTACACTGCATTTATATGACAAAGATTTCAACCAACAATCGCTAAATTATCTTTTTTAATTTCTAAAATACTTTTTAAATCCCTATATGTACTGATAATATAGCGTAGTCAGTGAGAAAAATGAAATTACAGAAGGTAATGCCTATTGCCGAGGACCTGCTTTTTCTCAACAGCAGGCACGGGGCACTGCCTTGAACCATTTAGACCAATCTCTTCTCCCTCTTCTTGGACAAAATTTCAGCCCTCCATCTTATAAATATTTACCTATATTTACTGCATCATTCCTCATTTATCTTCCATTGGTAATCAGTAACTTATTTTTTCTCTTTATCCCAGAACCAAAGGTACTTGTCTTCACTTTCTGCTTTGTTTAGGATCACAAGTGAAACGTTTTTCATTTGGTTGAATGTTAATGCAGGATGGGCGACGAAACAACTGAAGTTCCACAAGGACCGCCGCGTCTAAATGAGAGGATCCTTTCATCTATGTCAAAGAGAGCAGTTGCTGCACATCCTTGGCCTGATCTCCGGAGTGGTATCTATCCAATGGCTGAATAATCAGATTCCAAGTTTTTAGCTTGTAGCATAGAATTCTCCGAGTGAATCACCATACAGGGGAACTGACATGTTCTAAAAATATTGTCCGCTGCAGGATCTGAAGCTCCAACCATTGTCAATTGTGTAAGCCTCAACTTGTTCAATCATTTATATTGTCCTAGTGCATATCAGATGGGGGTGTTTTTTTTATCAACTGTACAGGTTGTTGAGATATCAAAAGGTAGTAAGGTCAAATATGAACTTGACAAAAAGACCGGAATGATTATGGTATGAAAAAAACTCTACATATTTCAAAGATAAAGTTCCTTGAGCTACTATAGAATATATAGATCAGAGGAATACCTCATTGGCCATGGCTTTTCCCGTCCTAAAATGTTTCTTACTGTTTAAATGAATCTCACAGGTTGATCGGATTTTGTATTCCTCGGTAGTCTATCCTCACAACTATGGTTTCATCCCGCGCACGCTATGCGAAGACAATGATCCCATGGATTGTTTGGTGATCATGCAGGTGAAAATATCAAATTTAGCCCTACAACTTAACATTGATCTACAAGTAATAAGGTTATGTCATTTGTTCCGATAGGAGCCAGTTCTTCCAGGATGTTATCTGCGAGCCAGAGCCCTTGGACTTATGCCCATGATCGACCAGGTATTTCTTTGAAGGTTTACATTAACCTTTTTGATACTTCTTCCCTTCAGTTGGTGTGATAACTGCTTCATTATTCGTCATTCAGGGGGAGAAAGATGATAAGATAATTGCAGTTTGTGTTGATGATCCAGAGTACAAACATTTCACTGATATCGAACAACTTCCCCCTCACCGCCTTACTGAGATCCGTCGTTTCTTCGAAGATTGTATGCTATTCAATCTCAAATTATGAACTCATTGCAGAACAACATTAACTTTTGCTTCCTAATGTGAGGGAATACTGATTTCTTAACATTGCACAGACAAGAAAAATGAGAACAAGGAGGTTGCAGTCAACGATATTTTACCTGCAATGTTGATATGAAGCAGGGACCTTTATAAGGAGTACATCTTAGAAACATTGAAGCAGGTCAAATAACCCAGCACCTCGTCTTTTTGCCATTATTTCATTTACTTTTTCTTTCACAATTTTATATTTCTCATATTATTTGATTGATTAACATTTGGAATTGTTCTTATTTCTACTTGTAATTTTGAAATAAAAAAGATTTATGATTATGATATAGGTGGTAATTGAATTTTCGATCAAAAACACTGAGATCTTTGGTTTTTCCCTCTTTCCCTATCCTATAGGTATAGCATTTGAATCGATAGAGAACCTTTTCCTCTATATCTATATGAATCAATATTATTACATTCTAATTCCTCACTGATACACCCCAATAAACTCAAGTACATCGCTATTTTCCCTTCATTCATGGAGAGAAAATGCGTCATACTAAATAAAAGCATATTAACAACAGCAGTTGAATGAGAAAGTCTCATTGATTACATTTTCTGTAGTTTCAAATGATTATTGTTATCATTATTATAATTACGTTTAGTGCTTTTAGGATTAAAATCTCATGGGAAAGAAATGATAAAAGGAATGTATAAATTAACTAGAGCTAGTAATATCAAATACTAATGATCAAAGGAGGAATGTATAAGTTTACTAGAGCTAGTAATATCAAATACTCTTACACATTTTCTGCTGGTTAGGACTCTTCATTTGAAGTCAAAGGAGTTTTCAACCCATATTTGGAGAAGACCCCTGTTAGCTGAGCCTTTTCCTTAATCTTTAACCTGCACAAAAATGATAATACAACTTAGAATTTTAAACCATATTCGAGAAAAACTCTTTACCAATGAGGTTTTAATAATGCAGATAAATACCTCTTAGCGGACCCTGGAATATCAAGCTTTTGAACCTTTTGCTCTTTTGGAACTTTTGGTTGGTTTCCTTTAGCAAGTACTTTTTTCTTAATAGACCTAATTCTTTCTAGCTTTTGACCTTTTTGCTCTTTTGGAACTCTTTGCTGTTTTCCTCTGGCAAGTAGCCTTTTCTCAAGATCCAATATTCGTTCCAGCCGAGATGAATCAGCTTCACGTTTAAACGTTTGTTCCATAATATCAGCCTCTTTTGCCTCTCCTACAATAGTAGCATTAATACTGTTTCTAACTTCTCCAAGTTCTACTTCAACAAACTCATCATCCTGATCATCAAATTCATCCAATACAAGCACATCATCCTGATCATCAAATTCTTCCGATACAAGCGCATCATCCTGATCATCAAATTCATCCGATACAAGCACATCATCCTGATTATCAAATTCATCCGATACAAGCACATCATCCTGATCATAAAATTCATCCGATACAAGCTCATCATCCTGATCGAAGACTTCATCAGATAAACTTTCCAATGATGAATCAGAGGAAGAATTATTCATATTGAAATTAGCATTTGAAACGTCTATGAAGCGAGAACTTCCCACTACAGGTGTGATAGATTCATTGTCACTTGATTCTTCATGAGGAGGATTCACAATCTCACATTTTATTTGCTTCTGGATCCTACCAAATGTGATCTTATGTCCAGAGAAATTTTGCACAAACCTACCGTAAGAAAGACATCATTTCAGTTGAAGGATCATAGTACAATGCTAACTCTCTAAAAACAAGAACGATAAGCCGCCTGAAGTCAATTAGATCAAGATGCAACATTGCATTACCGGTGATTTGGCCAGTTCTTAATCTTATTGCATGAATTTTATATAATGCAATAGCTTCTGTAACGCAGAATTAAGAATTACCAATCATTAAAGTTTGCAATATGGCACACCATACCTGGTTGCATCCACCTCACGCTTAAAATCAATGAAGGCAAAACCTTTGCAAACAGGGTCTTTAGTCTTCTTATTCCCAGAAACAGCCGGATATATATGAATTAATCCAGAAACCCCATCAAAAGCAGCTTTCAAATCCCTGAGAATGTTCTTTTTCTTAGGAAGATTGCCGACTCTCACACGAATTCCACCCGGAACACTTTCAGCTACTGCGAAGCAAACAAAAAGGGCCATCACACATCTATATGATATGGAAAGAGAGGAATAATATACAGCATGGAGGTGTAAGAACCAGTTTCAGCTGAGTAGTATCTCTTAAGGAAATAGTTAGATTTAGACTTTCGGATAAAGAAATACAAAGGCTAGATAATGTAACTATTCAATTATGTAATGCTTGGGGTATAGTTTAGAAGTATAGGCTGATCATTGCAGATATTGTAGTTTGCACAGAAATTTTGAGTAATGAAGCACTTTGGATTTATCCTCTCCCAAAAAATCAGAAACCCTTTCAATAAAATTGCTAATAAAGTTGAAAAGGTCCAACCTTTCTTGTTTTTCTGATGATCTTTCTTGGAACCGGGCTTGACATGATCGTTTTTAAGATTATTGACATTAACAATTTGTGCTTGACTGCTTTGCTCTATTTCTTCGAGCAGCTTGTCTTCAATGGAAGTATCGTATACTTTCCCTTCACCGAACCCACGAGGCTTGTTCTCAAGCCACTTTTTCATTTTTCCAAGCGGAACAACCATGCCCTCTTCGCCGTCTTCATCACCGGAACCGTCGAATTCATCATCGAAATCAATGAACTCCTCCTCCTCGTCGTCCATTTCGGAGAGGGTAGTGTCGGATTTTCTTCCTTTGTTAAAAGCAGAAGCCCGCAATCTATTAGAACCTATTACATTAGAGAAAGAAGAAAGAGAAGGAAAATGGGTGGATTGAGAAAGTGGAAGCAACGAAGAAGAGAGAAATAAAGTGATGGCGTTCTTCTGGTTATGAGCGAGGGAGCTGCTGCTGCTGCCTCCAATTCCAAAGTGAAGAGGACTGAAGAGAATCGACGAATTAGACAATGAAGACATTCCCATCATCTCCATCTTCCGCACTTCCACTAATCTATACTATCTTCTTGTTTTCCGTCGAATTCAACTAATACTTTCTTTTAGAGCTTACATATGTTATCCTTTTACGAGAATGGCAATTGTTTATAGGTCAAATTCTGTAAGAGATCCCTATACAATGCATTTTATTTAATCCCTATACATTTTGGGACGTATAAACTTATTAGGGTAAACTACATATTTCGTCATCTACTTATTCTTGTGGTTCTATTTTATTCACTCAACTATTTTTTTTTCAAAATCATACCTTACATTACGTTTTTGTTATGTTTTGGTCACTTATCGTTAAAAACTAAATATAAATGTTGACATTATATTTTTTAATGATGACGCGACACTACTTTAGTGTGACACATCAACATTATTGTTAATCTCACTAAAAAAAATTAAAACACTAATAACTAAAGTGCTTTAGAAAAGGGACAAAACAATCCTTTAATCAAATTTTAATCTATTGATCTACTAATCAAGATAAGGTATTACAAAGGCAAGAGAGATCCTCCCAACTCAGTTTGTTTCATTCACAAACTCCAAGGTTTGAACCTTTGACTTTGTTTAATAAATTTAGTGCCACATGCCCATATACCAACAGGTTATTGATGAGCATGAAACAACTTACCTTAATGTTATGCATACGAAGAAACCTTTTTTTTATCACTGTCAGCTGACTCATTCAAATGCATCTGCAGTCTCATATGTATTTCCGTAGTTTTATTCTGCTTATGGCTTTTAGATTTCAAAACAGGATTTTCCTTTAAAGGAAGATTAACAGCAGTGGTATTTTTGTAATCTAAAGCCTGAAAAAGGAATCAAGCTGGATAGTTAAACGCAAATTACATAAACCTCGGCATTTCATTTTGAGATCATTTTTATTAAATGCAGGTGAACTGTTTGGTTGCCAATTGATGCAGTTACTTTGTCTTGGGAGACTTTTTCCTCAGAACTTCCCCCGCTTAGTGATTCTTTTTGGATCATCTTTTTGCTCTATTAATTTTTTACATCTTCCTTTTTGATAGTGAGGGTTGTTGAATCTTGCAGCATGAATCGTACAATGCAGATCAATAACTAACTCAACAGTTGCGGACTGATACCATCCTTTCCCTTCCATGGGAATCATGCTTTACGGTAGTTAAAGTCGCATTTGGTACATTAACCATTGCAGTTGCTTGGAATTTTTTTGAACCAGCATGTTCATCGAGCATTATTGAATCACTTAGCACCTGCTCATACTGTCAACATAAACGAAGAATCATGCAATTAATAAAGCTTCCCAAAAGAGAAATTATAAAGCAGTTCAGAACTTCTGAAAGGTTAAAGGATGCCAAGACTTCCACAAAGCATTTTTCACTCTGTTCCATCAAAAAAATGTGTGAGATTGTAGTAATGTCAATTTCCGCAAATTGTATTATTTTTATTTTCAACATTAATGAAAATTCTCACTATATATTCCTGATTTTTTCTATTTAATTTTTTTTACGTAAAATCTTACTCTTTTATTTTACGATCGTTTTCTACTCACCGTTACCGTCTTATATTTGAAGTATCATCTTACAGTTATATTGTCTGTTATTTTTTCGAAATTCCCATCTTCTATTCAGCTTCTTACAATTTTCAATTGTTTGCTTCATGTGTTCCCCGCTTGTCTGTCTAAATCACATCTCTTTGACAAAAGAGTGAAAAAGAAAGGAAGGAAGAAAGAAAAAACTTGCTTGCATAATTAAATTTGGCGTTTCTATTTTGTTCTCCATGAATGGCTCAACAAATGTGAGAAAGTTGACTTTCCATATATATATATATATATATACAAATATGAAATTCCAAAACTTCATAGTTTTTTTTTTCCCTTTTTAAATGTGTAGCAAAAGTTGTGTTTTGTTGTGCTATCAACATTTTGACTCTACACGCTTTGCTCTGAACACCGTAATCTCATTGGTGAGAATACCGCAGTGAGTCGGGCGTGATCTGAAAGCGAGTAATTTTCAGGCCATATCCCCTTCTCCACTTCACGAGGGAAGAGAACTGCTTTCTTTACCGAAAAACCGATAGCTTCTTCTTCTGCAATGCCTTCATTCGAGTCCGCTAAGCTGCAGCCTTCATCCATATGTTGCAACCATGTAGCATCCCAGATTCTCTGCAGACATATCAACAAATTACTGAACGTTTCTATAAACAACCGGTTAAAGACATGGATTTTTCCTACATGATAACTTTAACATGCAACGCACCTTAAATTCTTCATAGTCTAGAATACCATTTCCATTGGTGTCTGCTTGGACCCAAAGACCTTTCGTCTCCTGGAAACTTAATCCGTATGAAAGACAAGTCAAATTCACCTGTACATGGTTCGGAAAAGGAGAGAAATTTTACCACACCCATTATATATTAGGGGACTATATCAAGAAGTGAATGAGAAGTACCTGTCTAAGTGCATCACAAAAAGCTGAATAAGTTATACTGTTGCCATTGTTGTCATCCCTTAGAAAGGCAAAGGCATCATTTTCGGTCAATGAAACCTTTTTAAGTTGGTACCGTCACCAAGAATATGGGAATTAAAATTTAAACGTGGAAGCATGATAATTGATTATATTCATTTGGAAAAGAAAAGGTAAAACATAAATTCCCCATCATGCTCCTAATCATAAGATACACAAGTGTCAGGTGAGAGAACCAGAGAGATGGCTACAAGTTTCAGATTCCAGAACCAGTCACTTGACAATTTTGTCAATAAGTGAAGCATAGGTCAACAATTGAACGAATTATCAGATATGGCCAGCCCTGATGTAATCGTCTAATGGAACACTCTAAAGAGAGTCGGTTTTAATTTGACTACTGTAGTAAGAACTAAACTATAATTTGAGCTAGAAAGACAGAATTTGGAACTATAAACCAACAACTCAAAATGAAAAATGCAGAACTAACCTTTATTATACCAAAAGCTGCTTCAGACCAACTTATCTTCAACTGTTTTAGTGATTTATGAGGATTACGAAGCCACACCACAGATGTTTCCCCTATGATTTTGATGGCTAACCCACTGTGGGATATTGCCGGATACAAGAGGATTAAAGCCAACACACTTAATCAGTAAGCACTCTGGACTCAGAAAACATGATAAAGTGGTGCTAAAATAAAATCTGAAATCGAATATACTAACCTGTGAGCATCTGCATCGCCATCTGTATATTCATGTGCAATATCATAAGATGATACAAATCCCTGGGACCCGAGGAACTTGTACACATGTCCTCGCTTGCTTCCATTCCAGTCACTGCAAAATCAATAGCATTAAAGGAAAAAAATGAGACCACAGAAAACAAATCAAATACCTTTTACTGAGGAGATCATCAATCAACAAAACCAAAGATAGTGCTTACCAGCAGAGTATGACAGGCATCTGGCTGAGTTTGTTTTCTCTCTGATATGTTTCCAGATATTGTATTATTTGGTAAACCTACGAGAAGAATATCAAAGTTAGAAATAAGTCAACTCTGTTAACATAAAAAAAAACTGAAAAAGAAAGGGGAGTGGTACACTGACATATTTTATAAGACAATTTATCTACCTGGTGCAATCTTACAATGGATGAAGTAGAATCATGAGGAAATAAAAGGTGGGTGTTCACAATGATAATTTCTTGTACAACGCTGTCATTCTGATTTCTTGAGAACGGTAGAACTGATTGAGCATGTAACATTTGTGCAACATGATCTCCAAAGTCATTGAAGAACAACTCTCTATGGTTTAAAACTTTGATGTACTCCTTGTTTATAGCAGTCAACAAACCTGTGGAAGTAAAATTAATATTAGTTCTCAAGCCGGAGACTAGGAAGCTCTTAAGAATCAAATTGAATCATAACGAAAAAATCATTAAGAACTAAAGTAATTGAACTTAAATCCTGCAGGATGATCTACACACATTATAAGGACTGTAAACAGCCCAAGAGGTATGACCATCCTTTTCCCATGTCACTGGCAACTGAAACCATAGAGCAAAAGGAAAAAGATGTAAATTATAAAGGAACTAGTTCGGCTCTCAAAAGGTGAGAAATGGCCATGCTTCTGTTTACCCTATACTATAGGATCCCATCAAAATGGAATATTTGCATACTGAAAGAGGACAAGTAGAAATGAAATTCCAAACTAAACAACACCCAGCTGTGTCAAACTACAACCAATATTACAAAATCATCTGCCAAGATCTCAAATTGTCTAAAGATTTTGACTTGATTTAAGCTTAATATACTTGAACTCGGTACAGCATCCCATGAGAACATCCATAAGGACCATAACCATTCAAACTATAAACAAAATCTTAAAATTCCCATCCAGTATGAGAAAAAAATTAGTTTGAGTGTACCATCCCCTCTGTTGTTGCTTCTTGCAAGCTTGAAGGTACCATAGCCTGCAGTACCAAGCTTTCTTCATACATATGCACCAACTCTTCATTTCCAACCCAAAATTCCTAATCATTGAACAAGAAAAGTCATTGAATAAAGGCTTATGTCATAAGAGTTGACATTAAAAGGCTCTTGTTGGAAGGAAAGTGTCAATTATTTAATAATTCATAACATGAAAGTCGAACTGATGTGAGAGGGAGTGGAGGCAATAGAAGAAAAGGGTATATGAAACCCACCTGGAGACAGATAATAGACGACCTTTCGAAAAGCAACCAATTTAGGATCTTCTCGTTTCTAGCTAACCAAAATGCTCTAAAATGACTCTCTCGTACGCTCTGGTTCTGTTCCATAATCACAAAAAAAGAAAAAAAAGAGAAATGAGCAAAATTAGCAAACGTTAAGACATCAATAATAGAAAGGGAGACGGAAAGAGAGACAGTAGTGATATTAAAAGAGAAGAAAAAAGAAATCACCTGCTGGTCCAATCGCTTGTAAATAGGAGCAAGGATGTTGAAGGTGGTGCAAGAAATGCAAGGCTCCCCCATCGTTGAACAAACATAACCAGTTTCTCTAAAAGGAACATCATTTTCACTTGAATCCACATTAGCAACACCAGAGTCATTACAATATCCCGCCAACAACACCTTTCACGCACAAAAGAAAAAAGATTACAATACAGGATATTGGAAAGAGTGACAAAACCCCAAATCTGAAACAAGAAAAAGATTCCAAATTTGCAGATACCATTTCAGAATTCTTGTCACTTTGATTGTTGTTGGTGTAAGCAAGGAGAAAGGGGGAAATGATAAAAGGGAGAAAGCATAAAAAGAAGATTTTGAGAAGGGTTGGTCGTAGGCTCTTAGCTTTGGGTTGGTCTTGATTCATATGGTCGAGATTTTTTTGTTTATTTATATAGAAGTCGGAGAAATGATTGATGACACTCAAGGGGCAGGGCGAGTGGTGTTTTGTTCGGTTAATTAGAAGCAACGCGGTTCAAGTGTTGTTTTGGGAAAGACCTGGCTCAGGTTCTTTAGCAAGGATCAGTTATGTTTTTGTGGGTTGTGTTTGTAGCTTTTCTTTTGGTTCTATTCGAAGATTTTTTTCTTTCTTTTTTTCACTACAAATGGAATTCAAAATGGGTTTTAAATATTCAAATTATTGATTTTTTTTAATTTTTACGTTTGCGTATTAAATAAATTAAGTCAAGAGGATCGTCTCTATATTAAGTTTTCATAATATTCAATTTTGATTAATTGATTAAAAGATTGAATACCGATATATATTAAGAAAAATATTTAAAAAGAGTTGGTCTCAATTATGAAAAAATGATTATTATCTAAAGAAAAATTATCAATAAATTAAAAAAAATTAAACAATTATAATTTTATAATCACGGTAAATTATCTAAAGAAAAATTTATATCAAAATCCTTAAGTTAAAATATAAAAATATTTATATAATCTGAAATTTTAATATGAAATTTTTATAAACATAATAATTCATTTACATAAAAACACTAGTCCAACTTCTAAAACATCATCACACCACTAACTAAAGTAAACTAACATTCTATTGGTAAATATTTTTATATATTTAAGATGAGAGTATTATGTAGGGAAAGAGTGTTGGGTGTTATTTTATTTTCATTTAAATTATATAAATTTATACAAGTTATTATAAAATATACGATGTAAATAAAAATCATCTTTAATTTTTTTAGTCACCGATATTTGATTTATTAATTAACTAATTCAGATTAAATACTACAGATGTTAGGATAATCCTTTTAATCCAGTTTACTCTATTAATAAATGTCAAGATCTAAATTTTTAATCTTATTTGAAAGATTTAGTATCTCATCACACAAAATCACCTGATTGGTGATAAATAGTTTTCAATTTTACAAAAAAATGAATTATATTTGAAGATAATTTTGTTTTACGATGTACATTTTGTCATAAATTACTAAATAATTTTAAATTTAAAATAATTCGTTAATTTTTGTTTTTTTATGAATGAATGAATTATATTCCAAACCCAACCACAGTACAAAAACCACCTTAATCAATCCATGCATACCTAAACACACGTATAAACACTAAGAATGAAAAAATGACAAAACTAAACAGTAAGCCACCAACCCATTCAAAGGCCACTATTAACTGCCCCCTGGAATTAACCTGCAGAACGCTAAATCGCAATCGAACCGCCTCTTTAATTTGATCAACCAAGCTACCCTCAAAGGATGCAACCCCCATTATTTTACTCCCGACAAATCGTCGCAATGTAGCAATTTCATGCCAAACGAAGCTCTCCCTTTAAGGTTTTGACAAGCCCAGAGCAATTCTTCACCCCATCTAAGAAGAGGTCGTGACTGATGACACGAACTTAGAACACCAACCCAAAGTCTTTGTAAAACAACAAGTGAAAAATAAATGATTCCTCGACTCTAAAACATTCAAACAAACGCGCACGAGCCATCAATATACAGTCCAAAAGACATGAGTCGAACCTTGGTGGGCAACCTATCCAGAACCGCCATTCAAGCTATAACAGAAAATTTAGGGACATGACCCGAATGCCAAAAGAACCTATCCCAATGAACTTTAGCTCTATGCACTCGCAGCTCATTCTAAATTAAACATAAGGAAGAGAATGAGTCACCTAACAAACCAATGATCATACCTGCTTTAGTACGAAGCTGCAAAAGACACCTCCATGTCCAGCTACCATTTTGGGGGCATGTAATCTGCCAAAAAGAATTCTGCTTCACAAAATATGCATGCAGCCATGCCACTCAAATAGACCCCTCCTTTTAACAAAAATTTTCGGATCAGGTCAATAAAGCACGCATGATTCCAAACCTTAAGATCCTTGAGGCCAAGACCGCCCTCTTGAGATTGCAAATGGAAGACCAGCTTACTCTAGCCTCTTTCACTGGCTTATCTTCACCCTTCCAGAAGAACCTGGAGCAAAGTTGATTAATCCTTTTAATCACAGCATCAGGTAACAACAACTGATTGCTCCAGTAATTCTGCATGCTATAAATGACAGATTGAATATACTTTCTTTTCATTTATCTTTATAGTTTAATTTAAATAAAAATATTTTTATAACCAGCCTCCAAAATTTAAATAGCTTTTAATCTTAGATCATATCCCGTCTAAATGAAACTGTTAAGAGTTTAGAAAAATGTTTTTAGTGTTTTCTTAAAATTATTCGTGTGAAGAAAAAAAATAGTTAATGTAGATGTCAATTCCGGATGAAAGGGTCTCAAAAAGGTTTTTAAAAATAATTAAAATATAATATGATATTAAAATTAATATGAAAATTATATCTATTATAAAATAATATTATATTTTTATGATACATTTTTCTTCTGCGTATAACATGTATTATTATTATTATTATTATTATTTTGTCTTTGAACAAAACACGGTGAATCTCTCAATAAAATACAGAAAGACTATGATTTGCAGTTTGACCTAGGATTGGAGGAACCGCATGATGTGTTATGGGGGATTTTTAATAAAATATTTTATATTATTAAAGTTGAATATGGTGGATGAGTTGATACATGCATACATACATCTCACCATGTTAAATCCCCCACAAAATGTACACAACTCAAAGCCCAAAAAAAAAACTAAGAAACCGCGATATCATGGTGTTTTTAATCGGTCATCAGTAGCGATCAGTCACTCAACAGCATTTCTTGACAACCAAGTTGCTTCAAAATTTCTCATCCATTGCAGCCGATGAATACGCACCCTTACCAACCTCGCTCTGCAACTAGATTCTTATAGTCTAAACTATCAACTCATTATAAGATCTAATTAGTAAAAGATAATATTATTATTCTTAGAGATTTTATATACGAGTATATGTATATACAAGGTGTATATGCATTATGAATTGACTAAAAAATTTTTGAACATGTACTACTTTATAATCATCTCATATTATTAAAATAATAATAGTAATATTTCAAATTATGACCATCTCCTCTGTTAATTATCATGCCGGTATTTCTTTTATACAATAGAAATAATATATTGTTATGATTAATAAAAAGGATTACATTGGTCTTACTGCAAGTATGATTCACCAATAAAAAAGATGTAAAAATAGAAAGAAAGAAAGATGGAACTTCAGCATCTCAACAGACAGAGGATCTATTTTCCTACTGCATTTTGCTTTTACTTCAAGTCATATAAAATAAGTCCCTGTAAAAGAAAAAAAATTGGAATGCAAACAACATAATGGAGACCCAAATTCTGCATCCAGCACTTCAGCCTGAATGGAACCTAGAAGATATACGCATGGTCTTCTTCAAATGCACTAGATGGCAAGTGGAAGAAACTCTGGATCCAATCAACTGCCCCTTTCATTACTTCTGCGACAGCGTTTATCCCGGGAATTATCCGTCGATCGTTGATGTTCTTGTTCTTCTCCTTTCGACTGCTTCATATGTGCCCACATTAATCATGATGTTGATGGATATATCAAAAAGAGGGCGGCCTTGTCTAAGTCAGTCCAAGAGACTGTTGCTGCCTTCAGGTCCACTGTTACTCCCACTAATCCTATTGGCACTCGCCAAGGGCTTACGAATCAGCACATTGTACCCTCTCCCATGCATTGCTCCGGCTATTCTTCAACTAGTTCAAATTTCATCTCTCGCCTTTGACACTGGAGTCGACAAGGACCCTAGGTACGCATTCTTGGAAGCTTCCACCATTTCAGGGATTTTGCATGCGAGTGTATACCTGGATTCAATCATCCTACCTTACTACACAGGCATTGATGCTTTAGCATCATCGACGTTCTCCGGCGAGTGCCTGTCTTGCGTGTGTCGTAAAAAAGTTTTAGTTGCGGGAGGGAAGTTGATCACGTATCGGGGATTATCAGTTACGACATTTTGTGTCATGGGAACTTTGTGTTTAAGGATTATTTGCAGGTTGTCAACAGAGAGCAAAGGGCTTTCCTCAGCTGTCAAGTCCCTGTTGGAGTGTTTAGCTTGGATCTTGATCACCAAAGATAGCATTTATTTGGTAGCCTACTCTCCGCCGGAACAACCACTGCTCCGGGCTGCTACTTTTGGGGGCATAATTGTATTAATTTGCCTTCATGGCCTCAACAAGTTATGCATACGAATTACGCAATGGCATCGGTGAGATTGAAGTGATTTGTATGGTACATGAGTGTGGGTTTCTCATTAAGCGACTTCTTCTGCGGAAGATTTGTCTCGTTGCCATTAGCCGTAGAAGTAGTCAACGAGAGTTTAGATGGTTGAGGTTCGATGATTCGATCAAAGATTCAAACTTGTATAGAAAGGCCAAATGTATCAACCAACAGGATTGCCTCATTGTAGAAATAATTAGTTGATTGTATCTTATTACAGATTCAATTGAATTGAGTTTCATGTACTATAATTTTAGTATTTATACCTTTATTAGGATATTATTAAAATGTCATATAAAATACCACAACTGCTTTTACACGTCTTAAGAAATGTTTACATGCAATGTCATACAAGATATAAAACCCAAAATGTAGATGTTCCTTTAGGGCAACACCAACCCATTGTGCTTAAGCGTCACCAGAGTTAGTTACGTATTTTACCAGCTGAGTTCTTGCTCCAGAGGACTTGGCCATCAATGGCAGTGAGATATTGATCATCAAGGCGCTTCCAAGTCTTGATCGACTTAACCGCTCCCCAATCTCCTTTCTCCATCTTCTCTAAAGACGCCACCACCACCCTAGCTCTCCTGGACCATCCAGCTTTCCCATACGCATGGTACCCAAATCCCCCAGCATAACACAGTTGTATACCGGTCAATTGGCCACAGAAATCGTTGAGGTGATCATGGCCTGTAAAAACAGCCTTCACATCGCCTGCTTCTACCATAGTTGTGAAGAAGCCCGAGTTTATAGAAGCAGAACTAATCCCTTGTTCTTTTCTCTCCCCAATGTAGTTAGACGAGTTGAAACTAGCGAATTCGGGCAGTGGGATGTGGAAATAAACAAGCCCTGGTGCAGATGATTTTTGAGCCTTTGGTGGCCTTATGTATGCTCTCTGCATATAAACGAAATTGTAAAACTTGCAATTCACCTAAGAAATGGCCTCCAATTATGTATAATGAGGTTCTTACCTGAAGCTTTGCAGAAGTGCGTTGAAACCAAAACTGCTGAGAGGGTTTAATCCAACCATAGCCAGGGATATCAGGAACTGTGGAGTAATCTCCACTGTCAAGGAAGTAGAGGTTGAGAACCGATTTGTTTGCGAAACCAGACCCTTCAACCCCGCCTACCTCGACGTTATAGTTGCCAAAACCATCGATGATATGTGCTTCAGAAGGATTGAATTGAGACACCGTATGCTTCAAGCCAACTATGTGTTTCATAACTCCTTCCCTTGATAAGGTGCCTTGCTGGTCATGGTTCCCCAGAACAGCAGCCCATGGAATTCTTGCAGCAATTGCAGGGGCAAATGCTGCATTCAGTGATTTGGCTGAATCTGTGGCATCAAATCCAAAGATGTTGTCTCCTAAAACACACGCAAGAGTGAACTTACAAATCACCATACACAAACTTAGAAAAGATCATTCTATTACACTATGCTATTAAAAGATAGATAGGAATAATTAAACCATTTTTAGCCAATAGAGCTGAGTGTTTGGCCAATAAGGAGGGCTACCGAAACAAATCGACACTTTGTTTTTATTTGTTTATGTAAGCAAGCTCTCTATACTCAAATAGTACGAAAAGGGTTTACTGGATTACCGGTGAAAACGATTAAATTTGGTTTCTCGGCTTGAATCATGCGCTGGATAAACGAGCTAGTGTTGAGGTCAGAGCAACCATGAACCTGACTAGGCAACACATTCAAACACGGCGTTGTTTTACCATCAGCAAAGTGCATATCCGCGACTTGCAGTATCTTAAACTCCCCGTTCTGATCGAACCTCAGCCTCTGCGACAGCTGCAGCTGCGGAGATCGTCCCCTGGCAACAGCTGAGACGTTAATGGGTACAAAACAAAGCAAAAGCACGGCCGTGGCGACAACAAAACCGTGAAAAAGAAGAGAGACGCAAAGCTTCATCCTGTTGATGTTAACTGAAGAAGGTTGTGACATTGTTGGGTTTTCTTTTTTATGGGTTTACAGTTCCTGAGAGGGTTTCCCTTGTTGGGTATAGAGTTTCGTATCAAACTTGAGGGAGATGTTCAGTCTCATAAGAGCTTCTTATCTTTACTAAATCTGCTTTTTTTTTCCCGTCGTTTATACAGTTGAAATTTAAGGATTAATTTTATAAATACCTTAAAATACATAGACTAAATAAGAAATTTTCCCATTTAATTTTTAAACCATTGCTGTCAATTTAGACTAACGAAAGTTGACAAATTGACCATTATTATTGTTCAAAGTTGGCGTCATGACTTTTCAACATTTTGTGCAACGTGGAAATTCCTAGTGAATGGTTTGGAAGATACCCGGAGATAGTTGACAGTATTTGTCAATCAATTTCAAGAGCACTTTTACTAATTTAAGTTCTAAAATTTCCAGAAAGAAATTTATTTCTGGAAATTTTGGAACTTAAATTAGTAAAAAATAATAATGGTCAATTTGTCAACTTTCGTTAGTCTAATCTTGGAACTTAAATTAGTAAAAATGCTCTTGAAATTGATTGACAAATACTGTCAATTATCTCCGGGTATCTGCTAAAAAATTGACTAGATTTGTTATTATTGGACGTTTTAATCAGATTTTCGAAAAAATTACCGGAAATATTATTAGGTGTTAAAAAATGATCAGTAATATTAAAAAATGATGTTTTAGGTAAAAATAATAATATTACCGGTGATTTTTTACCGATTTTATTATTTAAACAATAACAAAACCGATAACGTCTTATTTTAGTCTTCTATTAAGGTGCCGCACTGTAAAACTGACCTCGCATACAGTTAACAAATTATTCTTAATGTTGAGTTGAGCAAATATTGTTTTCTTTAAATAAACAAAGAAAGAAAGAAAAAATTCATCTTCAAACCAAACGGGAAAGAAACATCATCATTGGGCTTCCAGAAATAGTACCACATGCAATGAATGGCATAGTAAAATTTGTTCCTACCACATATGGCTGCACTTACTGCCGAAACCATAGCAATCAATTCTTCACTTGCGTCAGCAGTCAACAGCTTTTCCAAGTCATTTGTGGGTTCATATGAAAAATTCAGTTAAACGTTACTCTCACCACCCGAGTTCAGCCTGGAAATACATCCGATGAGCTTACCTGGTGAAGTGCAGCAGATCAGTAATCAAATTGATAAGCAACAATCATTACTTAGCAGCCATCAATGAGAATGTGATCCCGTGAGTATAAAAATTTCCACAACTCCAGGTCATAATCCACGAATGTTTAAGAAGAAGCGATAAAATTTTTCATCGGTTGAGATTCTTTGCCAGTGGCCGATTAGCATGTTAATAAATGGATTTCTACTACTCATCACATACATCGATGCAAACAAATTAATAATTTTTTTCATTCGTTGATCCCCACAATTTTCCACATTATGCGTGATACACTTGTCAAATCATCTTTGATTTTTGTATCTGAATGGGTTCTCCTTTCAGATATGCACCCAAAGAGAAAATGAAAATGGGTAAACAGATTAACTTTGCTGTGGTAACATGTGCCATGAAAATAAAGTACTTTGTTATTTTAGCTATTTTTTATTGAAGGAATATTCATTCCATTTGATTTATTTTAGCTAATCGAGTTTTTTTTCTGAACAAATTAATCTTCTTTTTTCAGTCTATTTTTTTTTTTGTTGACTATATAAGAAATACACACAGAAGTAGAAGATAATATGAACGGTGGCGAATCCATGTTTTTTTGGGGTTGTTTAAAATTGTATGAATTCATATAGGAAAACATTCTTTAAAATTGTATGAATTCATATAGGAAAACATTCACGTATGCCTTAATTTGTTTAAAGACTTCCTTAATTCTAATTAGAGAAAAAAAGCACATATGATAGTACTAAAGCGAACAAACGAATTGAATCAAACACAAGTAACATAGCAACTATTCCATTGCCCAAGCAAAACAGAACTGCAAACCCAACCTTACAAGCTTGCGATATCATCATGTAAGAGTGGAACGAAAAAGCTGGAAGTGTGGCAAAGATGGTAGATTCGAAACTATCGAATTTTACAATCTTGGCTAAAGCATCGGCCACCTTTTACCATCACGTAGAACATGTTGGACCTTAACGATCCAATGACGCTGCCGAAGATTATCCAAATGCGAACTCAAGGAATGAGATCCGTTATAATCTTTACGAAGAATCTGAACCACTTCCAAACTATCAATTTTAAGAATGATGTCTAAAACCCAACACCCACGTCAAAAGGAGACCAAGATAGACACCCAAGCTACCACTGGAACCCAAACCTCCAAGAGCCATGGCTATCTCTAGCTACACCACCACAAGAAGCGGACCCATCCAACTCACTACGAGTGCCATCGGTGCTAATTTTCAACCAATGGTCAGACGGAGGAAGCCAACGTGTAGACCGCGAAGTGCAACGGGCATAATCTGCTTATTCATACAGTTCTCCGCCAAAGCTCGAAAAGTCATATCCACAAGGTGTCGATTACGTTCAATTATACTTCCACCACCATCAACGGGAGACTCAAAAACCTTAACATTCCGGGACAACCATAAATTCCAAAGAATCTAACCAAATAGAAGATCCCGATTAACAGCAGTGTAGCAAAATGGGGCTATTCAGAAAGATTCGTGGACAACCAATCAACCATATCTAGAAACAGAAAATTCATTCTATTAGTTATTAATTTTTAATTGTGTGTAAACTTATATTTATTTATGTCCACTCACATATATATGTTATTAATACATGTATGTTCACCCTAAAAAAATCTGAATCCACCACCGAAGACAAGGACATGAGCAGGGGCTTTCGCCGTGATTGCACAAAAACACCAACATATAGGTATGTTGCCAACATCCTTCATAGTGGCGCTTAGCCTCCGTTGTTGGACCTAAGGGTTAATAAGATCTCCATTCGCACATTGTTGGTCAAAGACAGCAGCCAGGGGGGCTGCTAAGGGAAGAAAAATGGGGGGCTGCTAAAACAAATTGGGGAGGGGGGCTGCCCAAAATATTTTTATTTTTAATTACAATATTAGTCCCTAAGTTTTAACTATAAATACCCTAGCTCATTTAGCTTCAAAATCATCCCAAAAATCATTTCTTTCTCCCAATACTAGAGAGCTTTCTTGTGAGTAGTGAGTGTTTTGTAAACACTTGTAAAATTTCTCTTAGTAAAAGATCTGCAGCAGTCCGGAGACGTAAGCATAAATTGGGAACTCCGTTATCAAATTTCGGGTATTATTTTTCCGCTTTTATTTCGCATTCTCACTAATCTGGTTATAGGGAAATTACTTGTACTTGGTTTATTTCCTAACAACTGGTATCAGAGCTTTTGGTTGTGAATTTTGTCAATTTTATGCGAGGTTACTATTCATTACTATTCACGTGAATAGTGAATTTCGTGAATAGTGAAATTCGGTCGGCGATACGAGTTTGTCGACGGAGGTGTTCTAATACACGGCGGTTCGCAGAAATTGTCAGAAACGATCCAAACGAAGCCAGATTCGAGTGGGAGCGATGGCTGCAGACGAAGGGAAGGTGAAAATTGAAAAGTTCGATGGTGCGGACTTTGGCTTTTGGAAAATGCAGATCGAAGATTTTCTGTACCAGAAAAATCTATATCAACCCCTCTCAGGAAAGCAACCAGAGGGCATGAAGGATGAAGATTGGGCTCTTCTCGACAGACAAGCCCTCGGAGTTATCCGACTGACGTTATCCCGAAATGTTGCTTTCAACATAGCAAAGGAAAGACCACGGCAGGTCTTATGGCAGCTCTCTCCAGTATGTATGAGAAGCCATCGGCCTCAAACAAAGTTCACTTGATGAGGCGATTATTCAATTTGCGGATGACGGAAGGGGCATCAGTGGCTCAACACCTGAATGAACTCAACACAATCACAACCCAGTTGAGTTCTGTAGAAATTGAATTCGATGATGAAGTTCGAGCTTTAATTCTCTTATCATCTCTACCAGACAGTTGGAATGCTACTGTTACAGCAGTTAGCAGCTCGTCGGGAAATAGTAAATTGAAATTCGACGATGTTCGGGATCTGGTACTGAGCGAAGAAATTCGACGGAGAGAATCGGGTGAAGCATCAACCTCCTCAGCCTTGCACACGGAGTCCAGAGGGAGAACTTCAGAAAGAAATTCAAATCGTGGCAGATCCAAATCCAGACGGGAAAAATCCAGAACGGGAAAGAAAGATTTTACCTGTTATAATTGTGGCAAGAAAGGTCACTTTAAAAGAGATTGCCGAGCACTGAAGAAAGATACCGGTGCACAGGAATCTGCCAACGTGACAGAGGAGACAGGTGATGCCATGATTCTAAGCGTCACAGTCCGATTGAATCATGGATCTTGGATTCAGGGGCATCTTTCCACTCCACCCCATGCCAAGAAATCATGGAGAACTATATCAGTGGTGATTTTGGGAAGGTTCATCTTGCTGATGATGAAACCTTGAAGATCGTCGGAAAAGGAGATATCCGACTAAAGCTGCCAAACCAGACCACCTGGAAGCTGACAGGAGTGAGACATATTCCTGGCCTCAAAAGAAATCTGATTTCTGTTGGACAGCTTGATGGAGAAGGATATAGTACAACCTTTTCAGGTGTGAATGGAAGATTACCAAAGGAGCACTCGTCATTGCTCGTGGTAAGAAGACTGGTACTCTCTATGTAACCTCAAATTTAGAGAATATCATTGCAGTAGCAGATGCTGATGGAAAATCAAACCTATGGCACCAAAGGCTTGGCCATATGAGCGAGAAAGGAATGAAGATACTTCTGTCAAAAGGGAAGCTGCCGGATCTAAAGAATGTGGATGTCGGACTATGCGAGGATTGCATCTTTGGAAAACAAAAGAAAGTCAGTTTTGCAAAGATTGGCAAGGCACCCAAGGCAGAAAGGTTAGAATTGATTCATACTGATGTATGGGGACCATCCCCAGTTCCATCTCTTGCAGGCTCACTATATTATGTCACCTTCATCGATGATTCAACAAGGAAGGTGTGGGTTTATTTTC